GTTTCTCTTAGTTCTGGCTCTGTATTCTTTTTGTCACGGTAGAGAAAGCCAACTGATTTTTGTATGTTGATCTTGTATCCTGCTACTTTGCTGATATTTTCTATGTTAAGTAGAGACGTAGTTTAGTCCAAAGTACTGCGTATATCCTGATAGTTCCAGAGTAGAAGCCAAGCGTCAGATTTATTCTTTCCTTGAAAGAATTATTTGAAGCTCAGTTGCAGTTTAAAATTTTACTTTAACAAAACATACTTGTGTTGTGGGAGTGATTGATATTTTTATTTTGTTTTTAGCTTATGTCTAATTCTCCTACAATTTAAAAAAATAATTACAGTAAGGTGAAAAATATGTAAGTAATAGATAGTGACTTCATTTTCTGCTTTCAATCAGTGGTATAATGTAATAGAATGATTTTCTATAAGATAATACTACAGAAAGTTTTTTTATTCTGAGATAGAAGCAGGGGTGGCATCCACTTCCTAAATAACATACCTCTGGAAACTCTTTGAACTTTGATAAATGTTGATAATTGTAGGGGACATTTCAGACCTTTTGTTCATATAGTCGCTGTGAGTTTTGCTCGACTTGAAGGCCATCAACAACATCTGAGATAATCTCTTAAACTTGAACCTTTTTAAGTCCAAAGTCATTTTAGAACCGCAGCTGTATAATGCAGGGTTGCTAACAAAAAAGTTGGTGGTTTGGAACTATAAGCCACATTTATTGGGAAAATGATGAGGCCTTTTGCAAGGTTGTAATTGACTCGATTCTTTGAACAGCTTTCATCTGCTTAAAATTGAATTGGGGTTTTGCATGATCTTAAGATTTGTTCTGCTTCATTGGGTATAAGCTCTGGTCGTATCTGTTAGAGCATTGGTTTCTGTTTTTGTAATACTCCTCTAGAAAATTTTACAAGATTAATATTTCATGTACTTCTGTTTTTCCCCATTCTAATACCATGTCCACATTTAAATGGCGTCTACCAGCTTTTTAGAAAATACTCTAAATAACAGATTATGCTTATATTCATGAAAACATCAGCATATGAATAACACTGACAAGGAGCAATATTCTATAATAAACTGAATACCAAGCTGAATTCTGAAATCATACTGGTATTTGAAAAACATGTTGATTAAATATTTTAAATATTGCTGCCTAAGCATTTTGCTTTTAAATCACAAATTCATGTGCCTCTTGTACATTTATATTATTTGTAGACATTGCCAGGATATTAATGTTTTAGAATGAAATGCAAATTCTTTTATAAGGATTTTATTCTTATTACTTCTCTTGTTTCTTTTCTTCCGAAGTCACTTCTGGAAAAATTCTTGATCCCCAATGCTTCACAAGCAGAGAGCAAAGTCTTCTACTTGAAAATGAAAGGCGATTACTATCGTTATTTGGCAGAGGTTGCTGCTGGTGATGACAAGAAAGGTATGGTTTTATAAAGGGTATGCCTTTCCTAATAGGTTATTATCAATGAATTCTAAAATACTAATGTTCTAAGAGGCCAATTATGTGTATTCATGCCCTTTTAAGAAATACAGGTGACACCACCACCACTATAACAGCAAATTAAAAATATCACAATTCTGAATAATTTATAAAATTTTTTCAGCTTGACATTTCCCAATAATTAGTATGATATTCCAGAATTGTTTCTCTTAAAAGTGTGCTGTTAAGTTGGGGATGCTGCCAGTTTACTATTTTGACAGAAACATTGACTACACGTTTTAGCTTAGGAATTACGTGCAAACTTTTATCAATACCTTTTGGTGTGTTGTTTTCTCTAGGGATTGTGGATCAGTCACAACAAGCATACCAAGAAGCTTTTGAAATCAGCAAAAAGGAAATGCAACCAACACATCCTATCAGATTGGGTCTGGCCCTTAACTTCTCTGTGTTCTATTATGAGATTCTTAACTCCCCGGAGAAAGCTTGCTCTCTTGCAAAGACAGTATGTATTTTACCTGTTTTATATAGTTTAATAATTACTATTATTTGAGCCCAGGACATAATATACATAATCTCTTTAATGTGTGTTTTATTGTAGGCTTTTGATGAAGCCATTGCTGAACTTGATACATTAAGCGAAGAGTCATACAAAGACAGCACGCTAATAATGCAGCTACTGAGAGACAACTTGACAGTAAGAACATAATAGCATCTTTAAATGTTTTTATTTATCAGTGTGTAATGTACAACTATGAAGAAAATGAGCTCTTCAAGGTAATGGTACTATAAAGATGATAGTAATTGATTCACAGTAATGTTAACAGGAGTGACCAGTTCCTTGGGAAGAAAATGACTCTTGGTAAAGTAAATTGGTTGTTGTCATTCCGTGCAGTCAGAATGGATTCAAGAGTCTCCAGTGTTTTTCAGAGATAGTAAATAGTGTGGGTGGAGCTCATCTTCCTCCCATAGTAAAGTGTTAGATGAGGGGAAGCATACAAACATACAGGGTGTTAGTAACTTCCAGATACTCTTACAGAATCCAAATGAAGATCTGTTTTGCCTAGTTTTGTGCTTGAAAAAGAATTATTACAGAATGTCCTTCCTAGTAAACTCTAGATTTTATAAAAGGACCATAATGCCATTGTCATATCAACAAATTATAAGTCACTCTATAGTGTTATCTTTTCCTGGGTCTCTTCTAGATGGTTTATTTGAATTAGGATCCAAAAGAGGTCCAACATTGCAATTGATTGATTAGTGTTCCTTAGAGTTGGTCCCGTGGTTTCTCATCATTCTTTTTCTAGGTTAAATACTGAAGAAAGGTTTAAAGAGAACTAAAAAGTGTCTGCTCTGTGTCAGTGTAGGAATCTAGGAGTTGGAGACTCAGTTCTCTAGGAGATTAAGTTGTTAGGTACTGTCTTTTGTCAAGCTTGCCATTTATATGGGAAACTCAAGAATCTTTGAAGTTTGGAACTGGAACAAAAGACAATAGAGAGTATTGTCTTGTCTTACAGCATGTGCAGGAGCACTAAGGCTCAGGGAGATCATTTGGATAGAAGTGTAAGCTTGGGAGATGTCTCTTTCCAGGCCAGATATATATATATTTGGTTAATAAAGAAAACTAATGTATGGGAGACAGAAAAAAAACTAGATGGGGTTTTCCCCCTCTTCAGTTTCTATATATAGGCAGTATAAATAAATATAAGGTTATTTTGAAACAGTTCTTTTAAAATTATTGTTGTTTGTTGTTTAATGCCGTCGATTATTACATAGTGGTAATGTTTTTTGGAATTCTTCGTTGAAATTACAATTTTGAACTTAAAGGAATTTTTTTGTGTCTTTTTGATAATACTGTACCACTACAGGAAAAAAAAACCCAGTTTTAAACTCTTAGGTTTCATTTGGACCATATTTTTTTGTGTTTAGTAATCATAACGTGCTTAAAGCTTGTTTTTCTAACTGAAATGTCAGGCTAAAGTTACACTTTTATTCAAAGTTAATGCTGACTCTTAAATTTCACGGTGTATAAGATTCTCTCTTGGAGTGAGAGCCTTTGTTTCTTCTGCTGGAAAGAAGAGTCAGGTTTAGCTCTTAGCTCTTAAGTCATTGCTTCAAATTAGATGATTCTAGTTTAGTTGCATTCATTTAATGCCTGATGTCTTCTATTCTGATAGGAGTTTGTATTTTGTCTTTCGTAACACTTCTCTTTATGGTTTCTTCAGTTTTCCTTTCTATAAATAACCGAGAATTTCTTGTGTCTAAGTTAACTTTTATAAAATTATTAGAAAATAAATGCATTGAAATATTTTGTATTTGAGTTACCACTGTTAGTGCTTGTATCTCTTTGAGAAAGTCTTCAATTAAAACCTTGTACATTCCGGTGCTTTGCGGCACATGTATGGAAAATATTTCTATTTTCAAATGAAAATATTTTCTTCTTTTAACAGTTGTGGACATCAGATACCCAAGGAGATGAAGCTGAAGCAGGAGAAGGAGGGGAAAATTAACCAGCCTTCCAACTTTTGTCTGCCTCATTCTAAAATTTACACAGTAGACCATTTGTCATCCATGCTGTCCCACAAATAGTTTTTTGTTTACGATTTATGACAGGTTTATGTTACTTCTATTTGAATTTCTATATCTCCCATGTGGTTTTTATGTTTAATATTAGGGGAGTAGAGCCAGTTAACATTTAGCGAGTTACCTGTTTTCATCCTGAGATGGCCAATATGGGGATGTGGAATTTTTATACAAGTTATAAATGTTTGGCGTAGTACTTTTGGTACATTGTGGCTTCACACGGGCCAGTGTTAAAACTGCTTCCATGTCTAAGCAAAGAAACTGCCTACATATTGGTTTGTCCTGGTGGGGGATAAAAGGGATCATTGGTTTCAGTCACAGGGGTAGTTACTGTGGGTACTTTAGGGTTTGGAGCACTTACAAAGCTGTAGGAGAAGTAGATACACCATGGATAATACATGTTGAACCATATGTGTATCTATGGAATAAACAATCTTAGTGTGCACACGTTTGGCTGCAGCTGCAGAAGTGTTCCTTTAGACAAAATTGTGACCCAATTTACTCTGGAGAAGGGCAGAAACGGTTCACAT